AACCAGATTTAAAGAATTTGATTTTGATGAACGTCGCGGTTTAATTACAAAATTCTAACCGGTGTCTGGGAATTTGGGGTGCACTTTCAATTGAAAGTGTGTGTGTGTGTGTGAAGGGGGGGGGGAGGGGGGCTAAACCAACAAAAAAGGTAAACCCCAATTTTTAATGCATAGAAATTGTCTATATTTGCAAAAAAGTGGGAGGCTTAGCCCCCCGCCCCCCGGTTCCGACGCCTATGTCACAAGTTCAAATAAACTCTCGATGTACATTGCTATTTTTCATTACGAAAAAAATGCATATTGCCTGGAACTGTGAAATATACTAATTAGGTAGGTAAATAATTAAAATTACTGAAATTTGTACATGTAGCATACGTGATATATTTCTACTAGGTATAAGGGAAACTGCCCAATTACGTATGCATATTATGCCCCCCCCCCCTTCCAACTTAAATGCTGTGCAATTTGATTTTTGTTAAAAATAGACACCCCACCCCCTCAATATTATGCCCCCCCCCCCCACCCAAGACGCTTTGCACTTTGCATTTTGTAAAAAAAAAAAAAAATGGATCAACAACAACACTCCACTAATTATTTTGTCACAAGTAAGGGAGTTGATCCTAATGTTGCGGGTTTGAATCCCTTTGTGGGATGTGGAGACTGGTCCTTCGAATGAGACCGTGTAAACCAAGGGCCAATGTCCCAATAGATGCTGGTTCAAAAAGATCCCTCACTGCTCAATGGCCGTCAGTGCCTATGATAGGAAAAAATGAGCAGCTCTTCACGGGCAAGCCTTCATATGAGCAAAATATTCATGAGAGGGACATTAAAGAAGATACGTTGTACTATCAATCTTTAACATGTTTAACGTCCCTCTAGAGAATTCATCTCTCATGAGATATTGCCATTACCAGTGATGTTCCTGCCGCGAGGGGATGCTCCGCTTAGCGGTGCCCTTGTTTATACAGTATTGCAAATGAGTCCTCCAAAGAACCATGATGTAAATTTTATTTAACATCATTTTATTATTTTAAGGTAAAACTCTCCTGGCCAAAGCAGTGGCTAACCAGACATCTGCCACATTTTTGCGAGTTGTTGGGTCAGAATTGATTCAGAAATATTTGGTGAGTTAATTTTTATTGAAAGATTTCATAATATTTTCAATCCAGTTAAGAAAGTGCAGACAAATAAAATTGTATGCTTTGCTCTTCACTTTTTATCATTGAGCAACATGAACAGAAATGTAAGTTATATATTTCATAATACATCTTATTATTTTGTTGTTCTTGTACTCTTTTGATTTAGGGTGATGGTCCAAAATTAGTCAGAGAGTTGTTCCGAGTAGCAGAAGAACACGCCCCTTCTATTGTCTTTATTGATGAAATAGATGCTGTTGGAACAAAACGGTATATTGTCTATAAAATATTTTCATTTTTAACTCACCTATTAAACTTTAGATTCAAGTGAGCTTTTCTAACTTTGTAAATTGAAGCAATATGGCTGACTGTTCATTTGCTTTTTTTATATAAAGATTCAGCTTTGTTGGAGATAAGGAAAGGACTTCATCAAAGTCACATATTTAACGTAAAGCTTCATGTATTATCACATATATGTAGTAAAAAAACATTGATTTTTATCCTGGTGGGATAACTCCTCTAATTTTGTTTGATATAAATTTAAGGTACTCGTTTTTAGTATGTACATGTTTACTTGATTAATGGAAACTTGGAACTAATAAAGTTTAAACAATTTTTAGATATGACTCAAATTCTGGAGGTGAAAGAGAAATACAGAGGACCATGTTAGAACTCCTGAATCAGCTTGATGGATTTGATTCCAGAGGAGATGTAAAGGTGTGTTTTCATTTCCTGTAAAGTTTTATTTCAATCAAATATAGCATACATGTTAACCTATTGTGATGAAAAATAGGGAGATTCTGACCACAAAATGGGTAGCATTCCGCGCGCGTTGTTTTACGCTTGGATTTATGAAGATATATTGCATGTAATATACATGTATGGCCTTAAATGAAAATACAATAATTAATCTTACATATCTATTGCACAAAAATAAGCAGAAACACATTAAGTTTGACATAAATTATCCATATTCAAATATTTTTTTATGATTATCATTTTGCTTTGATTGGCGACTTAGCTTAGCCTTTTGAAGAGTGATCTTTGCTGATATGGCCTAGAAGCAATAATTCTGAATGTTCATTCAATTGTTAAACACAACAAATGATGACAAAGTTTAGTATAGATCTAAAACTAGTCCCTATGTTTCGTTACAAAATCGGATTTCCCGCGATGGTCGAAAACGAAGGTGGAAATATGCCTCATGGCTTGGTCAATCGAGTGATTTCTATTGACTTTATTGATAAAATTTCGAGTTTCTGTGCTTTCATGGACGATGTCAAACGTTTTCATCCAATTCATCCAATTCTAAAATGCTGTTTCTCCTTTTTCATTGCAGTAATGTCGACGAAATTTATCGTAACTAATGTAATCACTGATTTTTGTGCTGTTGTCGTTGTCACATACGTGCTTGAAATCTATGTACACATCGGTACAAAAAAAGCGTTTGTATGATTCCGGGTTAAATCACGCGATATCTTACGAGATTTCATGACGAGTGGCTTCAAAAATGGATACCCAAGCGAACCTTAGATACTTTAGACAAAACTTTTGTAGAAAAGCGGTAGATTTACGAATAAAATCGGTAGGCGGGAGATGGATTAAAAAAGCGGTAGACTCCCGCCTAAATCGGTAGAGTTAACATGTATGAATATAGAATTTATGAATCATTTATAATTACACTGCAATTTACCTTTTTAATTTCCATGAATGATATTATATCCCAAATTTTAGGTGGTCATGGCAACCAATAGAATTGAGACCCTTGACCCTGCTCTGATCCGTCCAGGAAGAATTGATCGTAAGATAGAATTCCCCCTTCCTGACGAGAAGACCAAAAGAAGAATCTTCACCATCCACACAAACAGAATGACTCTGGCAGAAGATGTCAACATTGATGATTATGTCATGGCAAAGGATGATCTCTCGGGTGCAGATATTAAGGTACAAATCAAATGTATCTTTGCTTGTGCTTTCAAATGAATCTTAATCCAGTTTAATTTATCAAATTCTTTCAATATTTTATTTACTTATGACATATTGATGTATAAAAAAAAGAAGAATCACATGAACATGTTTCAAATGGGCAGTAGGACAGACAGTGTAAATGAAATATACCTGTAAGTGGAGCTTTAATTGTTTTATATTGTTCATTCTGTCATTTGATTCCTGCTAAATCTGTTAATTTTAGGCTATATGCACAGAGGCAGGACTTCTGGCTCTTAGGGAGCGAAGAATGAAGGTCACAAACGACGATTTTAAATCAGCGAAAGAAAATGTGTTATATAGGAAGAATGAAGGAACGCCAGAGGGATTATACTTGTGAATAAATAAACTGTTTCACTGATAGATTGAAAAAAAATCTGTTGTGTATCAATAAATTGTATGTCATGTTTTGTCTTGTCATTGTTTCTTTATCCTTAAAAAAGTTTAGCATATAAAAGAAGTTGTTTTTAAACATTTCATATGACATATAGAAAGTATTCTGTCCAAAGTTTTCAACTGGAAGGTAGAAATGATGTTATTTCATTATATGTCATTCTCAGCTACATGTTTTCTGTCTCTGATTTATTTTGGTGCTTATATCTAGATTCTAGAAAGAAGTTTGCTACAGAATAATTTCGCAGAGAAAATGAAATGTTTATAAATGGATAAGTGTAATATAGCCTATGTGAAAAATCAGAATTTAACAGTTGAGAAATGAAGCAACATAATCCAACCTGACTTTGAATCTACCATGAGCTCTCATGATCACCATTGTTTATAATCTATTTTGACTTATCACTAGAACCTTTGGGTCACTTTTTAAGTTTGCACAAAATATTCTGAAAAAAGGGCTGCATAGTTTTCAAATGAAATGGCAATTCCATTTCAAGAGGGAATATCAAGAAATAGGCAAAATTGGGAGGTGTAAAAAGTGACATGAAATATGCCGGCATGAAGAGTTGTATTTCATGTCCTCATGAATCCTCAAATTAAATTTAAAATTTCAAAAAAATCTTGGTCAGATAAAATGAAGATTACATGCAAATTCCCTGACATGGGTTAGAATTTATATTCTGTTATTATATTTTATGTACACATGCATTTGTCAGCAAAGGGTTAAATTACTAATGTAAAAATCATTGCCCTTAAGTCTATTGTTTACAAATTCTTTCTCAGTTTGTAAGACTAGCAAAAAAATTCATTTCATATAGAGATGAACCAGCGATAGCAAATTAACTTGAAAAGAAATGTGGGAAAGTATACCATTTTGTATCAAATGAGGTACCAAAATACGGGGAAGTACTTCGAGAAAATCCTCTTTCTACTTCACAGGTACACACTGATTCATTTAAGTATTATCATTTCATTTGGAGCTATAAAAACAATTGTATGTTTTCAAACACACCTAGGTTTATTAATGCCGATTCATATCAATTGTTTTCTTCATTTTAAAATGTGCAAAAAAGTTAAGATGCACTTCAACATTAAATTGTAAGCATTATTGCTTTAATCCTCGAATATTACGAAAGCTTGAGATACACTAGAGCAATGTTCCTTTTCTTTGATTAGAAAGACAATCTTAAAATTACTTTTCCTATAACAAATACAACCAATCTTTTGTAAGTATTTATTATAAATTAAGTGGCACCGCCACATTATAGTTAATAAAAATTAAATAAATAAATAAGCTCTTTATACAATAAATATCAACATGAAAAACATTACAAATTATCAGTATTACAAAATTAAACTTCACACAGCGTGAACACTATGGTTGAATATGGAATTCTTACAATACATGGGACTTTGTAACAAAACACAAAACTGTGATTAAAAAAGTCAATACTGGACTCGGAATGAATGAGTTAACATCTTCATCTAATAGCTACTGCTAGTGACAAGTGGATGAACAATCACTGTATCGTCATCGAAGTTGTTCATGTAATGGATGACATCATTGTGGTATGGATCATAATCATTATTGTTATTTCTATTATATTCCCTTCCTTGATTCACTGTTATGGAACCATCAATGCCGTTTCTTGAACGCTTTGTCAAAAAATTAGATAACCCTAATAAATCTTTTCTAGTTTGGGATTCATCGTTCTTGATTTTGCCAAAATAATTTCTGTTGTTTTCGAAACGTATTTGCATTCTTCTGGACCCATACCCACTTCTTACATAGCTGGGTCGTAAGTTGGAAGAGTGACTGTCATACAGATGCCTTCTTCGACCTTGTAAGTATCTGGACAATGATGATTCATAGCGCGGCTTAGGATGAAGATTGTTAAAGTGTGAACGGCGGATTTTGTTATATGATGAGGAGGAAAGATGGGAGGGCCGATGAAGGAAGAGTCTTGATCCATGAGGTCCGTAAAGTTTGTGTCCATACACCGACCCTATTTTTCTTGGTTTTTCGTACAAGTTCTTTTTTAAAGTTGGCAGTGTCATGCGAAGATCTGACGAGTCTTTATTATGTCGCTCATATTTAGAGCTGTACTTTGTATCTTTAGAACCATACCTTCTCTTTAACCACTGCTTTCGTAAATTAAAAAGCGTTTTAAGAAGATAACTCACTCTTCTATCTTTATCATATTTCATCAGTGTGCTGTGCTTCCTTTTGGAGTTATAATCGTTATGTTCATTACTCTTTGACTTGTCGATGTCGAAAAGAAACATTTCACTGATCATCTCAACGGCATTCTCAAGATCATCGTCATTTCTTATTTCACCACTCTTGTCATTATTGAAGTAGTCCTCATTTTTCTTATCTTTACAGTCTGGATTGTCATTGTCATTAGAGCCTTTGTCTTTCGGATCTTTCGCTTCTTTCTTGTGTTCCATTTTGTTTTCCTTGACTTGGGTATCTTCGTCATTTTTATTATCCTCACCAGAGTCTTTCATTTTCATCTCTGAAAAAAGCTCTTTCGAATTCTGATCAACAATATTGTCTGTAACGTCTTTATTTTCTTCTTTTGATTCCTCTTCACTATTTTCTTGACTTTTACTTTCCTTTTCAAGAATCATGATTTTCTCTGTCGGTTTTTCATCACTGCTGCTTTCCCTTTTCTTCTCCTCTATGTTATTCTCTTCCATTGGTTCTTCTTCAGTAGTTTCATTGCTAAGAGGTTTCATTGAATATTCATCTTTTGCTTCTTCAATACTATCTGCATTATTATCTGATTTTTCAATACTGCCTTCATTATCATTAGGTTCTTCAGTACTATTCATTTTATTATCAGGTTCTTCAGTGCTATCTTCCTTATAATCAGGCTCTTCAGTGCTTTCTTCATTACTCTCAGGTTTCTCAGTACTATCTGCATTATTATAAGGTTCTTCAATACTATCTTCATTATTTTCGGGTTCTTCAATACTATCTTCATTATTTTCGGGTTCTTCAATACTATCTTCATTATTATCAGGTTCTTCCGAACTATCTTCATTATTCTCAAGTTTTTCTGTACTCTCTTCATAATTTTCAGGTTCTTCAGTAATATCTTCATGATTTTCAGGTTCTTCAGTAATATCTTGATTATATACAGGTTCTTCACTGCTTCCTACACTATAAACAGTTTCTTCAGAACTATCTTCATAATAATTATCAGGTTTTTCGATGCTATTTTTATATTCTGAATTTTGTTTTGATTGCTCCTCATTTTTTCCATCACTTCCAACTTCTTCCTTTTCGAGATTAACTTTTCTTATTTGTTCCTGACTTTCTTCACTGCTTAATTCAGTTTCAGAACTGTCGGAATTCACTTCTTTTTCGTGATGGTTTTCTTCACTACTCCCAGAACCAAAGCTTATATTTGATGAGTATACCTTATTTTCATTACTTTGACCTTTGCTTTCATCCGATTTTGACATATCATTTTCTTTACTTAGCTGTTCGTCGTCATCATCAGAAATTTCATCACTGTTTTGTCCACTCATTCTATCATGATTTAGGAAGTATTCATCAGAGTCACTATATTGAACGTCTTTTTCAAGACCATTTCTTTTCTCAGAACTTTCACTGCTGCCACTGTATATTGTGTCAGAGGTTGAAGGAAGGCTTCTACTTTCAGAAAACTGTTCTCTGCTCTCTGCCTTTTCACCTTCATTCTTTTTATAAATCTGTTCTTCTGATGACTTAAAATTAGAAAGCTCCTCCGACTCACTTTCTTTTACTGAACTGGTGTATTCTTCTGAATGTGAACTTTTATTGTTTGTTAATTGTTTAAGTTTCTTTTGTTCCGATGTTTCTTCAATGCTTTTTGAATCATCTTGATCTACTGTCTCTTTTTCACTGTAATCGTTTTCTTTCTCTGTAGAATCAGTTGAAGAGTATGAGTAACAATATTCTCCTTCACAAGAAATAGAGCTGTCCTCTAAACTATCAAAATTTTCATTTTCGTTGCTTGAAGAGCTTCTATCATTCTCTTTTGAGGCACTTTTATCTTTTGAAGACATTTCGCTGTTTACATTGGTAAATTCTTTTATAAACTTATTTTCAGTTGATTCACTGCTTTGTTCGTAAGTCATACTATCTTTGTAATGTTGAACGTCACTAGTGTCTTTTGGGTGACTACCAGAATACTTTTTATTTGTAATGATTTCTTCGCTGCTATCCTTAGATTCTTCACTTTCTTTTAAAATGCTGTCATTTTTCTCATTAATTTCATCAAATTCATCCTGATGACTTTCTTCTTTTGAAAAACTAGAACTGGTATGCTGCTCTTGAGTGTCCCTAGGTTCGTATGAGTCGCTTCCAATGTAATGCTGATTTACAATACTCCCTGCGGTAGATTTGTTATTGCCTTCCTCAGTTTCTCTACTTCCACTAAAAATATTGTCGTTATTTTGAAATGTTTCTCCGGATTTATCGTTTTGGTAACTTTCTACTTTTGAATTACTGTCCTTTGTGTTGGTATTTTCCCAGAAGGTCACATTTTCTTCACTGGAATTGCTTTTGTCCTTCATTTTTTCTTCCTTTGTAGTTAAGGTGCTGTCGTTGATCTTGTCATTCCCACCAAATTCTTCACTACTCCCAGAATCTTCGTTGAAATAAATATTTTCTACACCAGTGTAAGAGTCAACATTTTCAGGACTGCTCACATCTTCAGAAGATTTACTATGTTTATTGTTGAAACTTTTGTGATATTCTTCACTTTCGTCTGTGCTTATTGAATCATTGTCGCTATTTGCAGTTGGGTTTCTACTGTCTATTGTGAAATAGTTTTTGCCATTTACATCATGTTGATATGTAAGTTTGCCTCCTCTATTGTATGAGATGTAGCTTTCTGCTGGATCATATTTTGTCTCTCTTGATTGTGATTCACTATTTTTGTTATTTGAGTTGCTGTTTCCAGAAGAAATTTCTGAGCTTATGTCTACGTAATATTGTTTGGAACTATCTTTTCTGAATTTATCGACGATAATGCCTGTATTTTTCTGTGTTGTGCCCAACGGAGTTAGGGTCGAGGTTGGATAAAGTTCAACTTCGAAGTTAAGTTGCTCATTTTCGTAATCCCTAAAATGGTCATCGTAATCATTGAAGAGATCATATATGATTTTAACGGCCTCTTCAGCGTTTGAATGATCTGAATTTAAAAGATTATTTTCATAGTAATCTTGTACATCAGTTGATGGATATGGATTGAACTGTGATAAATCTGATCTTGTATCGAATTTGTAGTCATAAGAAAGGTCTTCTTCGCTACTCTTGGAAGCATCATTTTCTTTAGGATAATCTCTGTTGTGAGATGGTACATTGTCTCTTTCTTCTTCAATTGTATAAATCGAACTTTCATAATTTTCATTATGATGATTTTGTATGTCATCTCTCTCTTTTTTATTCTTTTCGCTTTTGCTGAAAACAATTTCAGATGACTGTGATTCTTCACTTAGAGCATTGTAAATAACTGGATTCAGATTCAGTGTTTCCTGCAATGGTTCGACATGAAGATAAGGTTGCTGAATTATTGTAGACGGCGTCGTTGAGGATTGTGTGGTATACATTTGTTTTGATTCTTTGAAATGATCGTCACTGATCTTATCTTTCGGGTCGGGATTGTTCTCTAAATTTGGCAAACGGGGCAGAAAATTATTATATCTAAGAAAAACAGGTTGTGGCCGTGTCTTCTTTGCAATGAAATTTTCCTGTTCAGCTGACTTTGCATCCTTCATATAGTGTTCTGTCGATGCGAAACCGGAAATAGTTGGACCATGGCTTAAATCATCAGTGGTGGAAAAGAAGTCGAAGTTCTGTTTTTGAAGTTGTTGGTTTTTAGGTATCCCTTGAATTTGCATCATATGCCCCTTTTTCTTGTACACTGCATTTCCAGGTGCGTTGGAATCGACGCCAGGGAAAACCGTTTTCATCAACTGTTTAACATCATCACTCACTTGGTTTTTTAAGATGTTCAGCTCTTGTTCTGTTTGCTTATTGTAATGAACTGTATTTTCCTTGCTAGACATGTCCATATCTTCTCCATTGTTGTCGGCCTTTACTTCCGAAATTTCCTGACTCTCAGGGCTACTTTCTTCGCTGTTATCCATACTGCGGTGATGAATAGAGAACGCTTTTGCTCTGGTGTGCTTGTTTTGTGTGTCCTTGGTGTCCTTGCTTACCTGTTTCATAGCATTCATGAAGAGGATTTGTCTTTTTTCTACAGGCAGACGCTGAAGAAGATTTCCAAGTAATCGGATCTTTATAATTGTGTAAAGATTCTTCTTGGCAATTTCTTGAGCCGACGGGATTATCTCTCTTTTTTCATCCCTATAGGCCGACACATTTTCTGATTTGTTAGAGATACTGAATGTGTTTTCATCACTTTCATTTTTTAAAGTTTCATCTTGAATGGCAAGTATGCTAGAAGTATTATATATCGTAGTTTCAAATTCGGTTGTATTGTTCAAATCTTTTAATCCTTCTGCTGTGGAATTTGTAGATATTTTATCAGTTTCTGCGATGACAAAACATACTTTTGTCAGCAATATCACAAAGGAAATTGTTTCCTGAAAAAAAAATCAAAAGTCATATAAGTTCCTGGATTAGAAAAAATGTAAACATATAAACATGAAGTCTGAATTTATTCACTCCTTTTAAAGTGAATCATGTAGTTTGTAATTGAAAAGAAAAACATATATAAAACATTTTTTCTTCGATAATAGAAAAGATAATTTAAATAATTATATAAGATGCTTTTTGCGATTTATAATTATAGTTTAAAGGGTTGACTTGTTTGTTTCTTTCCTAATATACAATTTGCGTTCTATAAAAATATGAAATCAATTAAAGAAAACTTACCTTCATGTCTTTTTCACTCTAACTCACAGTAAGTATTTATTGTAAACGTTCATCTAACTAATCTTTTTGCTTTATGTTCTTTTTCAAAATGCTCAGTACTATATATACATTTTTGGTTTCACCTAATGAAGTGTGGAATTTAATTAAGTAAGAAGTGTGAAAATAGATTACAATTTGCATACTTTAATTTTCTACGATAACAATCGACGATTGACATTGAATGAATGATTGACAGCCGTCGGTCTGGACAGGTAGTCGGCGGAGAAGTCGGGGAACCTGAGATTTCTAGAAATGTCTCCCAGCTACTAGCACTGTCTGATCAATGTTGGCATTGTGACGTCATATAAACAATCTCATATCCACTAGTCAGCAATGATGTTGATAGATTAGATCTAAATACAATAAATTTTTATAGAATGATAAATATTTCTTATATCAGATGTAAACACTCTTAAAATAAAGACAAAAATATAAAAATATGCAGATTTCTGAAATGTTCATCATATTTTAGAGCATTAAAAAATGACCTATTGTTGGCATTATTACTTTGAATTTGTACCTTTTATCAACCAGTGTTAATTCATTTCTGAGTATTTTATATTTGCGATTTTAAGACAAAAGATGTTCAGAAAGTTTATATTTGTATAATAAATTAATCTTTAAAGCATATTATAAAACTCTTTAAATTAAAAAATTAAATACATATTTATGTTTTTATAAGTTTGTGTTTGATTTGTTCCCGATTTCAATTGCTTCAGTGTGTTTTTTTTTTCTTTAGTTTGATTAGGGTTCGTTATCTCCATATTTCATACTTACAAATTATATGTGATTAATGTAATATACATTGTAGATTCAATGTTGTGATTTCGACTCTGAATTAAGTTAAGTATAGGTCCTACTTAGAATAAAACAGAGAAAAGGAACTTATACTTTTTAAATTGACATTAATAATAGGGGTACAAGTACGTTAAATTTTGTTCATTTTTAACATCAGAATAATTATAAAGAAAAGATTTTATCTCATGCTATCTAAAACATGAATAAGTATTCCATCAATGCAAGTAAGAAATATAAAACTACCAAAATAAATATGGATACTATTCCACAATGTCCCAACATCCAACCCCCAATCCCCCCAAAATAATAAACTGTGCTTTTCAACCGTTTGAAAATTTAAAACTAAAAAAAATGAATCATAAGCAGCATTAGCTATGACGATGAATTTGTTTATTAATGTATTCATTTATTTACACGTATTTACTTATTCATCTTTTATTTATTTATTTATCTATTATGATTTGCTTTTTGCTCTATCTCTGTCCCGTTGAAGAACTTTATTCGGTAATAATCAATATTTGCCACCAAAATCAAACTTTGACGGAGAAATATTTAATTATGTTCTAAAACATGGGGATATATGCTGACTTCAAAGCACTGAATATTTTCATTTGCAATGACGTCATGTGTTTGATATGACGTCACGAAAATGACGTAAATTTAACATTTCCATGATTTCTACAAAAAATGTATATATTGCGTCGATGTATTGAGAAAAGGTCTGCGAACGCAGGTCTGATCAGGCTCTACATTTTGATATAATGTGTAGAATGATGATATCAATGAATTATGTAAATATTGTACCTTAGCAATTTTGAGCTTTTAATCTTTTAAATCTAAACTTGTTGAAATTTTGTCCTATTTTTCAAAAATGATAAAAAAAAATCGGACTAGTTTGTGACATCATAAAAACAAAAATTGTCAATAAACTACTTTGAAACTATAATATATGTTTTGTTAATTTATATTTTTCATACTATTTATACAATACAACACATTTTAAGAATTTTTCAAAATTTCATTTTTTGTGGGGGCAAAGATGTGCAATATACCGCATATAGTTCTTTATTTTTAAATATTTTTTATCTTTCAGTAAATAGCCAAAAAATAATGTAACCTTCCAGTAACCTTAAGTTTCGATGAAACTCTTATTTTAGATATATTTTTAATTAATTTAATGACAATAATAGTGCCCTCCTACCAGTTTATGTTTAAATGTTACACAGAAATAGGTTGAATAACATGAATATAAATCAAAGTCATTGATGATTATAGGAAGCTCTGGGAAATCATTTAGATTCACTTTTTTTTTAGAAAGACATATGTTAATATTTATTATCTTCTCTGTGACGTTTAAAACTTTACCACAAAAACGTCCACAAATACGCTAAATAACTCATCTTTTTTACTTTGTACTTTATTCATCTATACTTAATCTCGACTGTCAACATTATTTAATACATGAGGTACTAGTATTTGTACGAGAACAAGACAAAAATATATCATAACTTTATAGCGTATTGTAAGAAGATGTAAAAGAACTAAACCTGTGGTTACATTATATTGTGTATCATTTAATTCGCATGATGTTATGTTTGTGAGTAATCAAACTGTTTTTGGTTATTGGGGACGTAATTTTTTAGGTATATTTAAAGGATTCAATAATTACATGTAATTTGATAAAATGGAAATGTTTTTGAGATGTATGTTCATGGATAAGAATAGCCTATGAAATCCATAGCAGTCGTCGCCGATGAACAATGATCATTCACAGTAAATTTAGGAGAGTTCTTTATTTAATTTTTTCAGAAAACTGAGAAAAGAAATAAACAGATTTTTAAAGTGTAGTTACTTTTTCTTTAAAGTCTTTTGTTGCTCGCCCATGTGTTTTCATCATTTTAATCATTTCTTTAGGTTTTTTTTAACTTACTAAAAAGCTTTTAAATTCACCAGTCTCAGATATAAATTCCTGTTCAGGAAATGCTTCATGTGCATAATTTCTCCATCGCGTAGTAAGATTCCAATTTCGGTAATAAATAAACAGAGTGTTCAAGATCGCCTGGCCATCATCAAGAGCTTTGATTATTAATAAGACTTTCATATACCAGACACCAAAATCAATACATGACGATTTAATTGTAGAATTATAAGGTGTCGAATGCTAACGGCCCATTATGGGCAACTTTACAGAAAGAACTTCCCTAGATATCGTCTGATATCACACCAATCCAATGTAGATTAATGTGATAAGTTTTATATAACAGTAATTTTTATGCTAATTTTACTATTTAACTGTTTTATAGCTTTTCTGTAGTAAACCTCATTTTAGGCGATTTAGTGCAGCATACAAATCTTACAGATTGAGTTTAGTATGCTAAAAAAAAAAATTGTGAATAATTTTTCCATGGCACAGTTCTGTATATGTTGTACCAGAACTTTCTATTTAGATATTGCCCAGGACGGCTTGGAAGGAAAATTACCTTTTTCATAGACATTTAGATATTGCTCTCGGGAATCTGAGCAGTCAGTTCTATGACTCCCTGGTCAGATAGTATATGCGATTCCAAATCCTGACAATGCGATATCAACCCACAGAGAGGTGAGGATTTTCAACATCAGGTGCGGACATCAAGGTATAAGCGATCATGAGAGAATAGTCTAATAACTTTATTTTATCAATTTTAATCATCCATGATACAACGTGTCGGTTATATAATTTCTTTCTTTATCTGATATTGAAAATACAATCTGCAAACAATCATGGTTATTTATTATGTTCCTGATCAATTATATCTTAGTATAATTTACTTTCAAGAAATGAAAGCAGAAAATATGTAAATGTACTCAGCACAACTTAAATTCTGAAAGGATAGATTATGATTAATGTGTCCGGGGGCATCGCAATGATAATATTAAAATTTTAATTACTCCTAATTTCAACAGAAATACAATTATTTTCAATGTCAAAAACCTTGAAATAGTCTAAAATGCCAGAGTACTTAACGTAAACTTCATTTTTTTTTTTAAGTTATAACCAAAAACATTATTTAAAAACGTTTTTAATGCAAGATTTTAACGATAAAACAGAATAAGTTTATAAATTTCAACTTATTTATTACGCATATTGTGAAACTTTTGAATTCAAAACTACTAATTAGAACGTTAACTCAAATCAATATTGAACCACAAATAACTTTATTTGGATGTGCAAAAAAAAACTATTGAAGAGAGTAACTGTAACCGGGTTGAAAGAAAATGGACACTTGGTATAGACAAACGATTTTCGATGTAAAACAATACAAAAACAAACAAAACTAAGTGATATATTGATTTGTCATCAGCTAAGCTTCAGATTTCGAAACGTGACAATAATTTTCAATTTGACTAAAAAAAAGATAAACTAGACACGCTATAAATTGTGTATCACCGTCGATTTGTTTCCAATGGTATTTTAAAGTGACTTTCCTTTACAAATGTTTATTAATATTTTTTAATCTCCATTCTTCCCTGTTAAGTACCAGTCCATATAAAAATCATGCAAAAGGTGATTCACTCAGGTACTCAGAATTCAATGATTTTCCACACATAGATTTCTCTTGACCTATGATCCATGTATGTAAAATAAAAAATGTGTTGGATCATGGTTACTATGGAAACCTGATCAAAGTAATTTCCTTAGCAACCAGCCAATTTTTCTATTTGAAGGCACTGAAAATCACTGATCTTTAAAGCCTGAAATTATAAATAAAAACTTTTACAATAATTCTCATTTACTGGTATGATAAAGACACACACTTTATTTGTTGAAAACACACAAGACATTGCTATTTTATCTGAAGCTAGTACTATGGTAGACATTAGAATATGTGTATATTTTTGCATTTTTGCTGATTCAGCATTTTCCTTGTTTTCGACAATATTCAAGGTCAATTGAAAAAAAATACCAAGCTAATACAGATATTGCATGACTTGCACATAAAAGTAGAGAACTTTCTCTTTTACAGATTGACTTTGAAAGCGTGGGTTTTTTGAAAAATCCTATTCGTTGCTTAGCAACAAAATTGGATGTTTTGATAACTAAAAAGTGAAAAATGGTAAAGGGTTGGGTAAAAAATCTTATAATTTTTTATCTTTTTGTGGCAGATACAATTTTTCAAGTAATAGAAAAT